AAAAAAAAAAAAAAAAAGCAAGCCCATCTCTAGTGTTATCATTCATTGAACCCACATAAAATGATTAAGAAATGATTTACTGAACATCCTAATCAAATCAGTCAATTGATTCCTCATATGATCAAGCATTTTTAAAAACTCACTTCCAGGAACAGGAATGTTTTCTCCACAGCGCCTATCTCATTTAAAAAGCAGAAACTCATAATAAAGAGCTCCTCTGATGTTTCTCTGCTCCTGTGGGTTGGCTCAGGACACAGAACTTTCCTTTCTTGGACCAACGTGTAGCTGATGACTAGACCCAGCTCTATTTTCAGTTTGCTCTCAGGGTATAAAAAGCTAACTCTTTATATTCATGGTCAGAGCGCAGCAGCAACAGCAGCAACAGCAGCAACAGCAGCAACAGCAGCAACAGCAGCAACAGCAACAGCAGCAGTACACCGTAAGCTCTGATTAAATCCTGTTTGGTCAAAATGAAACTCTCAGTGTTTGTTTAGCAGTAGTGAAGAGACACCAAGTACATTTACTGAAGTTTTTTTTTTTTTTTTAAACTTGAGTTTACCTGAGTATATGCCATTTTATTCTACTTTACATTTCAGAGGGAAATATCCTATGTACTCCACTACATTTATCTGTCAGTTTTTTTGTAAGATAAATATTTATCTTACTTTTTTTACTCATATTCTTTTACTTGGCTATATTGGTTCTTTTATATAAGGTCTGAATACTTCTTGCTGCAAGGTGGCTCGGTGGTTAGCACCGTCACCTCGCAGCTAGAAGGTCCCCGGTTCACGTCCCAGTGAGGGCACCTGGGATCCTTCTGTGTGGAGTTTGCATGTTCTCCCTGTGCAGCGTGGGTTCTATCCGGGTTCTCCGGCTTCCTCCCCCACAGTCCAAAAACATGTTGAGGTTAATTGGTGATTCTAAATTGTCCATAGGTGTGAATGTGAGTGTGCTTGGTTGTCTGTCTCTAAGTGTAGCCCTGTGATAGACTGGTGTATAGATAATAATGGATGGATGGATGGATGGATGGATGGATGGATGGATGAATGGATGGATATTTCTTCCACTATGTTCTGGTTCACTGTAGACCAGCAGAGGATAAACTGTGAGTGTTCTGGGTTTTTTTTCTTTTTCACAGCTACTCACCCACATCAAAGCTACAAAGAGTAAACAGGATGCTGAGTGCAGGCAGACGGATGTCGATGAAAAGGTAAAGTCTGAATAGTTTCCTTTAAAGTTTAACAGCAAAGCCTGACTGCAGAGTGTAATCACATTTGAAAGATTTATTCATTTACTATATGGTCAGTGCTGTAGTGGTGCCTGGAGAATTGCATATTCTTAAATATACCCCCCAGTTTTTTAAAGGCTCAATATCCTATAAACAGTTACACGTAGAAGGACTCCTGCATATTCAGTTCACAAAAAAATGAGTCAGTAGTATTTACATATGCACTTGTGCAGCCTCATGAGAATAAGAATCATCAGCAGATATTAATGATACTGGTTCACAGACTTAGGGCTGAGACATTTTTAGTGAACTTTTATGTTTTACCTGAGTCCATCCACACAAGAAAACTGGCCAACTAGTCTGATCTTGTAGGTTTCTGGGCGAGAAGTTTCTTATGTAAACTGTCTCTTGGAACTGTTGGCTTGCAGCAGAGAGTGTCTGCCAGAGTGAGCCACGATTCTAACAGTAACACTATGTGTCAAAGGAAGTTTGCAAATACTACAGAATGAGAGCATTGTTCATTGTTAACTAACATTCAGAATGACAAATTTTCATTTTCAAAATAAAACATTTCCAAACTAATTTACACTAAAATATAATCCATTGTTTGAGCACGACAGTGGCTCTATAAATAGGAAGGAAATTAAGTGGCTTGGAGCGATTAAACGAAACCCTATTACAGCATGTTTTGTCATTGTTATCATACTGTAGCAATAAAAATCCACTGCAATGAACCATGTGGCATCTGTTGTGGCGTTAATTAAGAATGTGTATATTCATTACAGCCTCCATATTAATTGTTGTCAGAAGGCTAAACATTAGCTTTCAAGTAGCATCTAGCTGCTTGTTCTCTAGTTCTATTTACCTTTTATAGACTTTGGCTTAGAACAATTGGTTTAATGGTTGCTTATGAGCAGCTAATATTTGGCAAGTTTTTAACTTGTTTTTCTAAAGCACTTCAGTAAAAGGTGACTGGACGTCTTTTTTTTGGTTCTTGAAGACATTTAAGCCCTTGTCCAAAAGGCTCTTTGTTCTCACCCCAAATCACATGACCAGTGGCCCATTAATGACCAAAGCCTCATGTGCCTCCAAGTGTAGACCCCCACCTAAAACACCACTTACAAGGTAATTATAATGCAGTCTTAATATTCATTCCCAGACAGTTTCAGCACCTTGATTATCTTTTGTCTGGCAGTTTCACAACTATTCATACCCCGAGGTATGTTGGTGTTGGGTCATTCATTACCCATAAGATCAAACTCACCATCAGTCTGTTACAACTAAAGAAGCCTCTTGGATGAGGTCAAACAAACAAACAACCAAACAAAAAACAAAGCCCAGTTTTCTACTACTGAAGCTCTTAACCTTAATGAATCTACACAGACTCAACGTGTTCTGAAACTAGTCTCTATTTTGGGGCATGCCTATATACTGTATAGTGTTTGACACAGTACTGAAATGATTTGGGTCAGGAGGAAAAATAAACCTTCTCTCTACATGTCACAAAACATAAAAAATCAAATAAAGGAAGGCCAAAAAATAAATTCAAAAAACCCTGTCCTGTTCTTTCAAAAAGTTAACCTTCCACCCAAAACTGTAGTAAATGGGGCCTTTTCCCCTTACTGAGCTTATTCTACACATATGATGTGTTGTGTTGCAGGGACGACCTGCTGACGGCCTTGTGCCTGTACATCACAAATACACTCGACCACACTGAGACAGCAAGAAGATTCTGTGAGATGTTCTCTGAATGGATTGATGCAAGGAAGACAGAGTTGAGGAAGATAATGAGCATTAAAGACAAAAGACCCTCTGCTTTTGTTAAATCCATGAGGGACCTGCTGATTTGGAGCTCTGCAGATATTGAACTGGAGAAGGAGCTGGATGAAGTGTTGAAGGACACTCTGGGAGGTTTGGAGAAGCTCCACTGTTTCCTGGATGCAGTGGAGAAGCTGGCGGTCACCTCACTGCATGTGTTCATGGAGAACCAGGTGTTCCACCTCCCCAAAGAGATCAGCTGTGAATATGTTCAGGTTGTCATCGGTGCTGCACGATTAATCTGCCATGTCCTCCTGGAGTTTAAAAGGGACGCACATGTCTTCTTCCGTCCAAAAATCAGAATGTGGAAGTGCTGGCATATCAGCTGTACAGATACATACAGACCACCGAGATCATCTGTCTCACACTGCAGAAAAGGTAAACAGAGGTTTTATGGAAAGCAGGGCTGCAACTAACAATTATTTTTATTGATGACGTGTCCATTAATTTCTTGAATAATAAATTAGTTGTTTGGTCTATACAATGTCAGAAAATGGTGAAAAAAAAATTATTTTGTTGTTAAAGAGGAGGAAATAAACCAGAAAATATTTACATTTGAGAAACAGTAAACAGAGAATTTTTCCTTTTCCCTTTTTTTTCCATCTTCTTCTTCAGCCACATCTTTGAACTGAGCCACATGATGGACAAAAACGTGATGGTTGACCTAAATGTGGATTTGTCTGAAGATGATGTGCAAAAGATGCTTGATCACATTAACCAGCTTGATGAAATCAGGTAAATGTTTTTTGCTTGGTTGGTTGTAAAATAATGTCATCCCTATTGCACTGATGTACAGCCAAATGATAGATTTCAAACATGCAAAGCTCTTGCACTCCAGAGACTTTAATGACCAGAAATACAAGTAACAAGGCTTTATTGGATCTCTTACCTACAAGGTAGTCGTTCTAAAGTCATTAGGATTCATTTTCTGGCAATCAATTTATGGCAATCCATCATATTGATGTTAGAAGTCACCAAAGTCATAAGGATGAAGCTTCTGGAGACCATGACAATCTGTACCAGATTTCATGACAATCCTTCCACTAGCTGTTGAGATATTTCAATCTGGACCAAAGTGGCAGGTTGGTGAAAAAACACAACTTTAAATGTAATGTCATTTTATATGTTCATCAGGCACTGAAGCTGAAGCTAATTAGAGGTGCTCAGCTTCTTGTTCTGAGTTAAAGAACATGTGTGCAGGGGGACATACCCGAGCACACTGCTAACCTGGTAGCAACAAAAGTAACAGACACTTCTTTTCCCTTGTTAGGATGGACCTGTACTTCCGGATGGTGTTCTTGTTCCAGGAAGTGTCCTGTTCTCACTTTATCAGTGAATTCAAAGAGCGACAGCCCAGGATGCTCCAGTTTCTAAAGGAGCTGGAGGAGATTGCTGTTCAGCTTGACAAGATGAATAAAGGTGCAAAGATCTCCAGTGTGGCAGGCAGCTCAGTGGGGGCGGTTGGAGGTGTGCTGTCCATTGTTGGTTTGGCACTGATTCCTTTCACAGCTGGAGGTTCTTTAGCTCTGACAATAGGTGGATTGGGACTTGGGATCACCAGTGGAGTCAACAGCATTGTCACCACAGCAGCAGAGGCTGGAGTGAACGCTACGCAAAAAAAGAAAGCTGGTGACGTCATCCAGAGCTTCATGAAAGACATGCAGATTGTCCAGGGTTGTCTGGAGGAGGTGGCCAATCAGCCAGTCGCCAAAGTAGGAGCGAAGCTGATAGAGATTTTTGTGGCATTTATTAAAATAGGCGTTAAGACATATTCTGTTAAAAGACAAATTGGTTTACTTACTGAGGCAGTCTCTGCTGCTAAGGCGCTGAGAAATGAGGAGCTGATTTCAAGTGTTGGCGCTGAGGCAGTTCAGGAAGTAAACATAGCACGTGCTGCAGAAAGTGTGGCCTCAGAGCTTCCAGAAGTAACTGAGGCAGCAGTCGAGGGGCCTCTGTCTCTGTCCAGGACAGTCAGGATGGGTTCTGCTGCTCTCAATGCTCTTTTCATTGGGGTAGATGTCTACTTCATCTGCAAAGACAGCATCAGTCTGGCCAAAGGCACCGAGACTGAAGTGTCAAAGTTCATCAGAGCCAGAGCTGCTCTGTGGAACGCTGAGATGGACTCGTGGGAGAGAATCTGTGAATCGCTGTGCAAAGGCCAGCCGACATCAAAGAAAATGAAAGCTGTCCTTGAGTCGCCATTTTATCCAGATACAGATTAGAATCATGGAGAAACAGAAGGGGAAGTGTATTCGAGTAACTCAGTGAAAGTCGAAAGCAAAAACATCTTTGTAACACAGTAGCGATTAGGGAAGAGGCAGAAATGCATTTATATTAAAGTCTGCCTCCCATAAAACTTCCATCAACCTCTACCATTGTATTTTTTGGACAGAAATGTTACTACTGGACTTCAGTGCCACCTGTAATTGTTTAAATATAGATCATGAGCTACGACTTATACTATCTGCAAGTAGATTCCAACCCACAGCTACCAAATGGATAAAACATTATTTTAGTATCTTCTACTTCCTGACAGGATGTCATTATCAAATCTCATAGCTGGCAATAATTAACTTATCCTCTAAAACATAATCTAGTTTGGTCTATAACTAAAAACAGGTGCCTTTGGGCTTTTATGGCTGCTTTTAGAACACATATTTGCTCCCTAATTGACATAATTATCAATTCTAGTTTTTTTGTGAAGTTTTCTGCTGACAGGTCTGACTTGTGACCACATGTCTACATCTTTTCCATGAGAGTGTATTTAATCATTTATCCATTTTTTAAATGCCGAGACCAGATAAAACAGATACACAGCCTAGTTTATTTGCTTATACTGTATGTTTACTATATATTTTGTATTGAAATGTCATACATTTTTGTTTCTGATTCACCTGACAGATGAAGCAGTCAGTGTGGGAGGGATGCGGGTGAAAGACCGACAGATCCAGTATATAAGGAACATTTACATCTCAAGAAAATCTTCATACTTATAATCAAAGCAAACAAACTGTTACAGCATTTTTTTATTTTTTTTAGTCTTCTGTAAGAAAGTGTTTTCAGTATTTCAATCAGTGCCTATGATGTCAATTTAACAACAGGTAAAGCTGCAAGTAACCACAATGCAAAAAATAACACAAATGTCTGTAGAAATGTACTTCTTTTGTGATGTTCACTAAAAATACATTTGAAGAACAATTCAGTAAACTGAATAATATAGTTTCACTGTTTATGCACACCTTATATTTTTTTTTTAAAAAACTGTTAGAAAAAAAACCCAATAAAGTCATTTGTGTTTTTCTACAAAGTCTGGACTGTGTGTGTGTTTGACGCATTTACTTGAGAAAAAAACTATTCTCAAGCACTTGCATGCAAATATAAGCATTTTCTGTTACTATGTACTATTTGCCACTCATCACATTTCAGAGAAATGTCACACTTTTTTAATGTACTTGACACATCGTGCTCATTATTTTAAAGATTAAGATTTTGCATTAAAAACAATGTGATGGTTCTTAAACTTTTTGACTTCTGATATTATTACAACTTTTTATTAGTAACTTGATTTAAGACACATTTGGTCCCTGAACATCTCTCTCCAAACGTTTCTCTCCAAATTTTTTTCTAGGCATTTCAATTATACAATAACTTAGATATTTCTGACGGCACTTTAGATTTCTGTCTCTCTGCAGGTGGCAGTGTTTACCAGCAGTTTCAGGAAGTTGTTGTGCACTGATCAAAGTCCAGGGTCCAACTGCTGTGAGGTTTTTCCACTACTCTGGTCATTTTCTCTTATTTTTTTGTCTGTGGCATTCAGAGCAAAACATGGAGAAGATCTCTGACCATCTCTGCAGGTACAAAGACTACAACTTTGTCCTTGGTTTGACAACTGCAGAGTACATTGATTCTCTCCAGAGCTTTGAAATCAGAGACAGTGATGTCTTCGTGGTCACCTACCCAAAGTCAGGTCAGTCAGATTATTTCTATTTATACGTTATAGAAATAAAGAAATTTCTATTTATATAATTTTCTCCTCCTCTCTGCTGCAGTAATGACAAGGAAATTCATTCTTGTGTTGTTTATTGTGCCTTCGCTTTGGAGAGCAACTTTTTATCTTTGGAGTTGTGTACCGGGGTTGGGGGGAGGGAACACTCTCCACCGGTTGTGCCAAACACATACACCTGTACTCTGCCTCATGAATTGTATGCTGAGTTTTTTTCATGCGACTCCTTTTATTTCCATTGAGTTGCCTCGCCTTCTGTGCCTCTCAGTTCTGAAAAGCTGTTTTGTGCTTTCTGAGAACTCTTTTGCTGATTTTGTAAGTATAATACATTCTAATAATGCATCGCCTTCTAGGGTTACAAAGCAGGGATACTTAACTGTTCTTTTATTTTTAATCTCCGGTAGTATACATTGCTGAATTAAGATTTAATTAAGATTTGTAACACTCCGGCTGACTTTAAGTGTAGGTCTGGTCTGGGTATTATTCATCTGAACATTCATAGTGTCCGTCCTTAAATTGATGTATTTACGTATGTGGGCTAAATCAACTGATGCCGACGTTGTTGCTCTATCAGAAACCTGGCTCACTAAATCTATCGTGGATGAAGTCATCTCTATTGTTGGGAATAATGTTTATTGAACTGATCAACCCAAGACAAGGGGTGGGGTAGCTATTTTGGTAAAGAGCAAATTTCTTGTTCATGTTGTGCTCTCTAAATCAGTCCGTAAACAATTGGCCCTAAATACTGTGGTATCAAAGGGTGGTTGTATTTCTGCAGTTGGGTGCTACAGACCACCATCAGCTGTTGCTGGAGCACTCCCAACACTGTCGCAGTCACAACTGCAGTACAGCGAGATCATCCTGACAGGTGACCTGAGCTGGGATTGGTTAAAGCCTATATCCAATGATTTTAAAGACTTCTGTGTCTTACTCAATTCATTGAGAGCTCTACACACCCGAGCCCCAGACACCCTGAGAAATTCTCCTGTTTTTCCGATGCTGCCAGGAAAAAACTTGCTGAGGCTACATTCCTCCCTCTACTTGACTATGGTGATGTGCTGTATATGCATACCCCTGCCCAATGCCTGCATTGCCTGGACACTGTGTACCATGGCTCTTTGAGGTTTGTCACAGGCTGCAAAGCTCTCACTCACCAGTGCACCCTATATGCCAGAGTTCAGTGACCCTGCCTGACCATGCGCAGACTCACACATTGGTAGAATTTTATTTATTAATCCATCGTTGGTCTGCTCCCCTCTTACCTTTTTGGGTATATTTTACTTAAAACCAGTAATTATTTTCTGCACCCGTATGACATCCTTTTATTGACTGTCCCTATAAGGTTCACCCTGAACTTATCAAACAGGCTTTTATATTTTCTGCCCCTGCAGCCTAGAATTTGAAGGGACAGTTGAAAATGTGGTGAAAGGGTGTAAAGGCAGATTCCATTGGAATAATTCCAATAGCTTTCCTTATTAGACAATTATGATTCCTCCCGTTTAGGCCTTCCGTTGCGAGTTGCTACTGTATGTTTTATTATGTATGTGTTTTTTGTGTTTGATGTTTGTAACTGTAACTTGGCGCTGCTGCCGTCTTAGCCAGCGTTCCCTTGAAAAAGAAATTTTGTAATCTCAATTGGAATCACCTGGTTAAATAAAGTTTAAATAAAAAAATAAAAAAATATACAATTTACAGTTGTGTCCTGGATAAACTGATCAGCTGTAATGTTTCCTACCTTTACTCACAGGCACCATCTGGACTCAGCAGATCATCCTTTCCATCTGTGAGCTGGATGTGGGTCTGAACGAATACCCAAACAATCTGGAGAAGATGCCCTGGCTGGAGTACAGAGAGGGTCGAGAAGATTACGCCCTGCGACCTTCTCCGCGGTTCATTACCTCCCATCTCACCCCGACGCTGATGCCCCCTGGACTGAAGGACAAGAAGGGAAAGGTCAGCACTTTGTGGAGCCTCAGTCCAGCAGGGAGAACACTAATTATAAATAGTTTTACAAAGTTAAAGATCACCAGGGGGCGAAGGACCATGATGGTATATCACAGTAAAACAGACTTTCTTGATACCAACTAATTGAAAAAACAAAACAGAAGAACAAAGCAAAGCCTCTGAGGTGTTGAAAGCAAGCAGCAACAGCTGCTTTTCATCTTGTTGTTCACATTCTGACTCACAGGAATGATGAGGAATAAAACTTAATTCAAGTGCTTTATATTGCATCTGTTGTAAACTGTCCTGAAAGTGCAGCTCACACACACAAAATGTAAAATATAAATTAAGCAATTGCATGAACATTCACCCCCTACAGGTCAGTATATAGTGGATGTGCCTATCAGCTAAATCAGCTGTTATATAAATGTGTCTGATGCGAGATCGCATGCTTCAGATCATTCAGTGGCAAGTCCCAATTATGAGTAAGACTGAAAATAATTAATCTGCTGATGATTTTGTGGATTAATTCTGTGAAATAGAAGGAAACAGTTACAGTAACAGCAACAGGTAGTGTCCTAAGATTCTGCTTTTGTTCCACCAATCGTCTAAAAACTCAAATATGTTTTGTTTACTATCATGCAAAAGAGGAAAAATCTTTCAGAAGCTTGCACCATCAGTTGTTTGGTATTTGTGATTGAAAAGTTAATTTAAGCTCATTTCAGCTACTAATACTGTCAAAAGTTAAAGTTAAAACTTGTACCTGAAGCAAAATCACAAGCTTTCAGTCAAGTTTATGATAGTTGACGTCTCTCTGCAGCGCCCCCTGGTTTGTGGATGCTCATTTACCAACCTCAAGTTGGTATCATTCAAATGCAGCTCTCAAAATTGTTCACATATAAACAAATATGTGAAGCTCAAAGTCTCTAAGTGTGATTGCTGTTTTCTATTAATAAAAACATTTTCCAGACCCCCTCATATTGCTTTATTGCAAATGACTGAACTGTGTGTATACAGTACAGGACATTAAAAAACTAATTAAATATACACTGTCGCCCATCTTTAAAATCTTATTTGTGTACCTACATCTATGTGTATCTTTGATCGCTTCTGCCTTAGTGGAGGTCTGAGTTTAAATAAGTGTCAATTAACTGATTATTTAGATTATGAAATATTTCTTGTGCTTAAAAATATTTTGTATTCAATGTACTATATTGTTTAAGAATTTTAGTCAGTAAGCATTTCTCTGTTACGTTTTCATGAGAAGGTAATCCGCATTAAAGAGGTGTACAGTATACAGTACAGTACAGTACAGTATACCATAGATATGACTTTTAATTATGTTTGGACCCTGGCAGTGATAACATAAAATCAAGGTATCATTAAATAGTAAAATATTTTCATCGAGTTTGGATGAGTCTCCTTGGTACTGTATCAGTTTAAACTCCGATTTCTGTTTGTTTCTACGTCAGATCATCTATGTGATGCGAAACCCAAAGGACAACGTCGTCTCGTTTTATCACTTTAGCAAGATCTGGGCTGAGCTGGAGACTCCCAAGAGCTTCGAGGAGTATTTGGAACAATACTTGATGGGAAACGGTGAGACATCTCTGCTCTGCTACCTGCAAAATGATGATGATTAGAAGGCAGAGTTCAGGGCTGATAAATTTTAACTGATAATCATCTGATCAGGAACAGAAAGATTAACAAGGAAGTCTGGATTGCGTATTTCAGATGCATTTACTCGAATTATATACCAAAAATCTGCATTTTATATCATCCATCCATCCATTTCAACAATTTCCCTGAGGTTTCTACCAAAGGGATCAATAAAGTTCTATTCTATTCTATTCTATTCTATTCTATCCTTCCATCCATCCATCCATCCATCCATTTTCTTCTGCTTTTTCGGGGTCGGGTCGCTGCCCTGGCCTAAGGTACTGTGGTACCAGATACACTTAGGAGCAACCATATGTTCAAACACAGTGTTCGTTATGGCCAATCTGTGGCTACCACAGAAGCCCAATAACAGTAGCATCTCCACACCCACCTGGTTCTGGAGCCCTTGCTGTGCGTGGAGGTGAGCCCGACTATATCTAGCCGGTAATGCTCCACCTCCCACACCAGCTCAGGCTCCTTCCCCACCAGTGAGGTGACATTCCACGTCCCCAGAGCTAGTCTACAGCAATTGTATACTACATTGAAGTGAAACATTGTACTTTTCCATTTACTCAACACATGTATTTTTAGATACTTAATGGATTAAAATTTTGCATGAAAAATAACATTTGGCTTGTGATAATATAAAGAATATTGGTTATGAGTTGTCAGCAGTTTCATCAGAGACACATGCTTCCTCTTAAATGCTCTCTTGGTTTCACTTAAAACACTGTTGGAGGTTTATACTAAGGATGGACCGATACCTCTTTTTGATTTCCGATACCGATACCGATACTTCAACTTTGAGTATCTGCCGATACCGATACCGATACATCTCTCCTCCTAAACTTCTTTGGAAATACCTTATTTGCATGGATACATTTGTTTAAGAGGGCTTTATCAAAAGCCTCATACTATTTAAGCATAGACTTTGCTTTTCTAAGAAAGGAAAAAACAGCCAAAAGCATGTCTCAAAGTGAAACTGTAGCTGCTTTATTTGAGCTGCAATCAGACTACAGTGTGCACTCAGTGCCATTCAGATATTTAGAACAGATCAAAATGACACAGCAATATTAAGCTGCAATTTAAAGGTTAAATTACCAAAACTTGCTATTAAATATTAGTACCAC